GGGGGGGGCATCGAAGGGGTCACCGGGATTATAAAAAGTGTGACATATGCGGCCTGATACTCCCTTGCTGATTGCAGATTCCGCCGAAAAGATTGCAAAAATAGAAATATCCGTCCAGATGTTTGACAGCGCGCTTCGGGTCCAACCAGTGGCGAACGTTTAGTGGCCGCGTGGGCTATGGCTGCCAGGTTCGGTTGATACGATCGCTGACTTGGTTATCACGGTATGCAGATCATCAAGTAGGGAAGCCCGCAGGGACCTTTACGTGGAAATCATTGTGCGAGAGCGTAAGCCATAAGTTTTCGTAAATAAAAATGGCATACAAAAATGCTACTTGCATGTAGCTAATAGCATTATAGTTTGGTGTTTTCGCCGTATGCAAAATATGCCCAGGCTAATAGAGAAAAATATATTAGTGGAACCTGGACCGACTATCCCGCTTTCTTTACTCCTTATCCTAAAATGCTTATACTTAAATTATATGTATAACACTTCACTTGAACTTCATTTAGAAATGGATGAAGGCTGCTCAGTCTCTAGGAGTTTCAGTGACTAATATTGGCTAATATAATCAAGGAAGTGTTTGGACAGGCGGAAATTCGACCTACTGAACATTTGCAAGTAGTTTTTTATATTATCAATAACGTCCCTCAGATGACTCAGCTATGAATCCGCACCAAAAATTGTTTGATGGATATGTCAATCAACAGATAACCGCTCAACCACTAAACAACGAAGGAGGGCAACACAACCCGAATATCAAACCGCTCCTCTCGTCACCTCAATACACTTGCGAGCAATCCTTATCATCAAGAGTAAGTCTCGTTCCCAAAACCTGATTCAAACTCTAAACATCAACCTAACCCTATCCCTTAAGGCTAACACAAGACTGAACGTTTCTTGTAACTGCTGGTTCCTAAACTCCAGCCTTACTTTCTTCCGGCAACCACTAAGCCCCTTACCTAAAAAAATAATACCAAACCCGACAATAACCCCAAACATAAATCTTCCTAAACTACTCAATTTCATCCAAATTTGCATTTTTTTGTCCGTTTATGTCTGTGCATATGGTGTTCAAAGGCGTTGTTTATATCCCTCATGTATTTTGATATATAATTAAATTAACCATAAGTGTTAACATAACGGTAGGATAAAACATACCTTTAAACCAGTCACGAACATAAAACTAATCCACAACCCTAAACCCTAGCCCAGAGCCTGACAAAATCACCTAACACTAACTCTAACCCTCACCTTACCTAAACTCGAAAGCAAGCCCCCGAGTCCATAAACTCCCTCTTACTTCCTGCAGTCATCCTGTATGTTACCCAAATTCGCTACTTAATCTAACTGCGTTGCGCCTAATGTGCATATAGTCCTTCCGCCTCCATCTCACACGTTAAGTTAGGAATAGTGTGCGCCATGGCCTCCGAGCAGACAGGCACCCATCGACTCCGTACTAACGCAAAACATTCGTCAAGATAGTAAGGACAGGCTCTTACCGTACACATACTCATTCACGTCCATATCACTGTCGCGAAGAGAAAAACGCAAGCGTAGAGCCGACCATATGCTCGAAGGTTTTGTCTATTGCCAAATGTCCCTACAGAATACACGACGCCAGTTGATGTCTGTTACTCCTCCAGAATGGAACAAGACCCTGATTGTTGTGGTAGTTAGAACATACGCCACAATCCAAAGCCTCGACAGCATCATTTCACAAAATCCACGGAATACTCCGCAGCCTAGCCAAAGCACGGCATCCTTGTCCACTTTCTATATCCCGATCAACAACCGGAAAGATCTCCACCCGATGGCTCAGTGGATAGGACGTCCGTCTTAAGCTCACTGGTCGTGGGTTCGAAACTCGGGTGTAGCGGCAGTTTCTGTGGCTATACTGGAGTTGGGTATCTGCAGCTGAAGACAGCTAATAAGCTGGAAATACGCGTATACTGCAGTCCTAACTTTGCCGATAATAAATTGGATACCCCTTAATCAAATTTTGTCTCAGATGCAGACAGATGAAGAGGACGAGTGCGGCTGTTTTGGCCTTCATTTGTTTCACTAAGCCGGCTGTGCGAGCATACTGTTGAGCTGTAGCAAAGAAGGCTATCTGCACACCCCGTCTAACGACAGATGACGGAGGGCTATGAACGTTAATGCTTTTTTTCAGTTCGGGCAGATCGTCGTGAGTTGATGAATTACTTGTACAAATATAAGTTAGGCTCACTGGCTGATAGTTGTTGGCAATGGCTCTGGACCCACCCTTGTGAATAGGGTATATGTTCGCTAATTTCCAGTCAGATGGGAAGATACCTTTTTCAAAGGATAACTGTAAGATATGCGAAAGCGGTTGGAAGAGGGTTTTAGAAGCGAGTTCTTGCAGTGCTTTTGCCGGTATTTGGTTTGGACCCGGAAAGTTAGCTTCGTTAAGCGCAAGAAGTTCTTCCCTCACATTTTCTTCTGTGAATTCGAAGTCTTGTCGTACTGCCCTAGATGGAAGTCTGCCTACTTAAAGGTTGGCTCCTCAGTGAAAAAAGATGCGAAGAACTAACTAGGGTGTTCTGCCTTTTTAGGACTTTCAATAGTTTCTTCGTTGTTTTCACCTTTCAACACTACGACCGTTTATCTTTTAACCTGCTGGTGATGTAACTAAAAAGTACTTTTGACTTGTATATGGCCCGTTCTATAACTTTTCTTCATACTCCTTCCGTGATCTCCACACTCTTGAACTTAGCTCGTTCCGCCTTCGGCGAAATTCTTCGTAGTGGAAGGCTTCGCCTGCTTTGGATTACCTCCTCCGCAGTTTGTTCTTTCGGTTTACCTGGCTCTTTAAATCTCGCGTTAACTAAGTAGGCCGGCTAATCTTTTGTAATGTTTTTCAGCGGACAGCTGTGGTGCATAACGTCATTTACCGCTCCCTGTGCACGTTTCAATCGGCATAAGGACTAACGGTAAGAATGTCGAGCCACTTTAGTATCAATAGTTTACTCCTCATTGTGGGAAAACTCCCGAACCATTAATTTAGCCAAACCTTAATATTCTCCGGTTGCTTGGTGTTTAAACCGTATTTCCACAGAAGTACATGACCTGGTCGCTCTTGCCAACTGGTGTGATTAACCTGAGTTCATCTACATCAATTGTGTCTTTCGAAAGCACGAGGTCTAGACAAATTGCTGTTTATGCACGCGCGTCTGTATTGTGGGTCGGTCTATGGTTGCTCCTACCGGTGATTTCGTTGACTGAGCCGCACTAGTAAAGCCTGTTATGCCTTATATACAATCAAGAGATATTCACTAAGGTACTGAAAGGCTGTGATATCAACATTCCTGAATTAACTAGAGCGAAAAATCCTTGCAAAAGTGCGCGCAGATATTGATTTACAGACTGTAAATATTCACGTCAAGCAATCATGAAATCCCACTAGTGACAGTGCAGGCAATAGTTATTGAGACGAATTTAGAAATGAGGGAGGAGGAACGAGAGAAGAGAGAAGGAGCCCGACATGGTCATTTCTGACTAAACCTTCGCCGGCCAACTCGCGCTCACCTGGACGGCCAGGCAATTGCGGCCGCCTAAGGGTCACTTGAACACGACAACCCTCTGCCGACGCGGCATAAGCCACAACATAAGACATAAACTCGAAAAATGCAAAACAGCAATGGATAGCGCTTGAACTTGCAATACAAT